GGGTGACCGTGATGGTGGCGTTGCAGGTGCGCTTAGCAATAGCGGAAAAAGCCCTGAAGTGTGAAGAGCACGATGTAAACCTGCCGCTGAGCGAGCACAACGAGCCGTGGTTCATGCGCTTGAATTCCTCTGGAGAAGTACCCGTCCTGATCCATGGAGAAAACATCATTTGTGAGGCCACGCAGATTATTGACTACCTTGAAGCGACATTTGTCGATGGTAATCCCATGGGTGTTTTGGTGTGAAATCCTTCCCCACCTACCCGTGGTTGGGGTCACTCCGTCTCGCCACGCGTTGGTTCGTTCAGGACCGGAACACGTGCACAGCCTCACAACAGCCTCTCCTCCATCGTTGGCGGTATGGGGGAAAACCACATCCCTTTAAAACACAGTGAAGGCCTTCCAGCGCCTTTACAAGTAGAGAGCTACTGCTGTCCTCCCTGCCCCTTCATGAGGGATGGAGAGGTTGGCACTGGTGCTGTGCTAACCCTGTGGTGAGACTTCCACGACAAGTAGCGTGTTGAACAGAGAGCTGCATGGCTGCTGTTGTGGGGCAGGTCCTGCTTCTCTGCCAGAAAATAAAGAAGTTTAATTCCAGAATAATCTTGGGCAGAAAAAGGAAGTAGAATGAGTAAATTATTTTTGGAGCCGAAATGGAGTGAAGAGGTAAAATGTAGGAAGAAAAAAACTCAGGTCCAGGCTTTTACAGAATCACAGAATGGTGTGGGTTGGAAGGGACCTCGGGAGATCATCTGGTCCAACGCCCCTGCTAAAGCAGGGTCACCTAGAGCATGTTGCACAGGACAGTGTCCAGGTGGGTTTTGAATGTCTCCAGGGATGGAGACGCAACAATCTCCCTGGGCAGCCTGTTCCAGTGCTCTGCCACCCTCAGAGTAAAGACGTTTTTCCTCATGTTGAGGCGGAACTTCCTGTGCTCCAGTTTGTGCCCGTTGCCCCTTGTCCTGTCACTGGGCAACACTGAGAAGAGCCTGGCCCCATCCTCTTGGCACCCACCCTTTAGATATTTATAAGTGTTGATAAGGTCCCTTCTCAGTCTTCTCTTCTCCAGGTTAAGCAGACCCAGGTCTTTCAGCCTTTCCTGGTGGGATAGATGCTCCAGTCCCCTCCCTCATCATCCTTCAAAATTGTTTATGTTTGTATTGCCAGGTAACAGACTGCCTTGGTTTTTGAAGGAAATGCAGAGTTGTATTTTTTTAGGCGTGAAGAGACAGCATTATGTATTTCAGGGATTTAGTGCTGCGATTTCTAAGGCATGAAGAAAACTTCATTGCTGGTGAACATATTTGTATTTAATGCTGGCGTTTTCATCAGACGAGCCATCGGGGCCCAGACAGATCAAGGGTGGAGTAAAACTCAGTCGGATGCAGGAATACTTCTAACCATGCTTTGAGTAGGATTCCTGTACTGTAATTTTTACAGCATTGCAGCTGTAGTAACGTTCCAGCCGTGACAACTTACTAGAACCTCAGTTGTGCCGTGCTGTGAGAGGGCTAAAGGGTTGTGCGCCATGGTCGCTTGTTCCCCGAAGTACAAAATAGACGCTGAATCTGATTTTGTGATTTGAAGGCATCTTATTATGTGTTTATGTGGGTTACTGCATAGGAATTGGAATTATTCAAATGTCTTAAAATTAAGTACGTGAATATACGTTTCTCTGAGCTGTGATAACGCTGCTGAGTTACGGTGCGGAGCATGTGAAGCTTTCTTAACTGTGGCTGCATCTACTGTGCCGGTTGGATGTAACCACAGTAGCTTTGGAAATACTGCTTTTGGTCAATTACATGGTTGTTCTTTATTTTTAACTTTGTATTGCAGAGGAAGTGCCAAGATTAATGCCAGAAGAAGGGAGCATGTATTACCCAAGGGTGCAACACTACAGAGAGCTTTTAGACTCCTTGCCTATGGATGCCTACACGCACGGCTGCATCTTGCACCCCGAGTTAACGGTGGACTCCATGATTCCAGCCTATGCTACCAGCAGAATTCGTAGTATGTACTGGTATAGCTGTGAATGCTGATCCGTTAATGCAATGTAATCTTAGCATTAGGATGTTGCATTACATTCATCTTGTGTCTTCAATGCACCTGAAGTAGAATGTATTGAGCACTGCATATATTTTTTTTAATTGATTTTGTAGTCTGTTATGATTTGGAAACAGGAAAGAGGAAATGTCATTTTTGAGGTGTCTGTGGAATTAATTTTCTTAACACTTGAAAATGTGCTGCTTGTATGTAACAGAAAATGGCAGCTGTGACAGCTGTGAGTATTTTATTTTCCTATCTTGCTGTTTATGCTTATAAAGCAATTTCTAGGGAAGAGCTCTACTACTGCTCAGATCAAACCACTACAGTGAAGGAAATTTTTTTTTTGTGATTGTGAACTTGTTATAAGTTTACCTATTAAATTAAAGCAATTGCATTCCTCTCAAAGTGGTGCAGATGCAGATTAGCCTCAATGAACGTGTTTATCTGATATAAGAGAATCATCAGGCTGTTTTTGTCTGAAGAATATACTAGTGTCAACTTGGTGCTGGGAGTAGGGAGAAAAAAATAAATATGAAGAAGTAAATAGCTTGGGTTCATTAGACCAATGGAATTGTTAAAGCATAATTTAAACCAAAATCCTGGCTGCAAATAATGCAACAATATAGAATCACGGTAAAGGACGAACTGGTGGTCTGGTAGAATCAATGGTAGAATGTCCTTTGACGTCCTTGGATTCAGTATTGTACCTGATGGACTTCTATATACATACCAGTTTCCCACGAAAAAATATGTTAAGGGCAGGGGAAATAACTAGATTATGTTGCCCAGTCCCCTTTATAACAGAGAACCTCCTGAAATGAACTCCCGTTTCAAATCCAGTGGTTTGCAGAAATACTTAGTTTAAACAACTTTCGGTGATATTCAGAAAAAAACCTTGGCAAATATTCTTTCAGTTCTTACAGTGCTATTTTTTTTGCCTTTTTTTTTTGTTTGTTTTCCTTCCCCCCTCCTGGGTTTCGATGCCAGAACTGGACAGCAGATTCTGTTCACTTCAGTGTTGGATAAGGAGAGAAATACTTAATTCTTTATTATTTTTTTTTTTTTCACAGTATGTATGTTCAGGGTCTCCAGCGTTACTTTCAGCCACAGAACTGTGCTGGAAATCAGCTGGTTGTGGATCATGACCTCATTCTAGCTATTCAGAACTGCTTGCAAACTTACAGCCCTCTCGCCAAGAAACATGGCCTGTATCTTTAGCTTCAATTTATATTTTACATTGGACTGTGTTGAAACATCGATTGGTTGCTTAGGCCCACTTTATCAGCCACTCCAGACCACTAGTTATCAGTGCCATGTTTTATCTTGATTTATGTCCCTTCTGGTTTTCATACCCTGACAAACTTTAATTAATGCTTTTCTATTTGCTTTTAAGTATTATGAAAGAACTAAATTGTTCTAGGACAAGGATCAGATCTTGAGAATGCAGCTGGATGACAATTCCCTGTTTACAGTTATGTTCTGAGATCTCTGATATCAATGACAGTGCTTTATATCATGTTGATTTTTTTGTATGATATTTTAGAATGCTCTGTAGAACAAAGTCAAATACTGTGGAGACTTTGAAGTGTAATACAACTATATCTTAGCAAATTCATAATATAAAAGATGATACCGTGTTAGTTTGAGAAGTTCTGTTTCCAACAAACTGTGTTATCCTCCTCCTTAAAATTTTTGGCAAGTCAGTTCTCTTATTAGCCATGCCATCGCATTGTCAGAAGTGAAGTCAGGTGGTTCGTTTTCCTTATAGTTGCACGAGTTCTCCTTTATAAAACATTAGCGCAGAATTAGTTTTCTTTCTGTCTTCTGGAAGCTTCCTGAGCATTGCAAAGTGTTTAGAAGTCAGTGTTGCTGGTCCAATGATCAATGGTTATTTAAAAATAAATTCTTTATAATAAGTGTCTAGAGAGATTTAGAATAG